TGCACCACTCTCCCCCATCCCCTACTTCTGCACTCATCTCTATCCCTTCCCCCCAAAAATTTCCTTGCATTTCACCAACTTGGCCCCCCTCTAGTACCTCCTGTCAGTGTAGGAGACTCCACCTCTCTCCTTTTTGTAGAAAGAGCATTTGCCTCCATTGTGCCCCACCATGAGTGTGTGCTGGGAAAGCAAGGATCTGTGAGAGCCATGAGCTGCTGAGAGGACAGCTGTCCTGGTAAACACAAAAGGCTTTTGTGTTTACAAGTGACAGTGGTGAGTGGGGAGCGGAGGTAACGAGCCAGGGTGGCAGAACGGAGTTCCGCTATGTTCCAGCTGAAAAAAGTCCTGGGTGCAGGGGCCACATGAAATTGCCTGGCAGGCCAGATTTGGCTCACAGGCCTTGTATTTGACACATGTGGCTTAAAACAAGGAAGAAAGGTGGCTGGCAGGATCAACCAGATACTTTAGATGGAAAAAAAAAAAAAAAAAAAAATGCACAGACATAGAAAAAACATATTTTGGGTAACAAAGTCCTTTAAGTCCTGGGAACCAGAGTGGCTCCTGAGCCTGCCATAACCATGAGCACCAAAAATGGTGACCACAGACAAGTTTGCTTCTTAAGGTTGCTGAATTCAACATTATAGAGATGTTGCTTTTTCAGTATAATGCAATGCTTGTCTCACCTCTCCTAGGAGTGCCATCTGGTGGAAACCTGGAGCAGTTTTCCCCAGCATCATAGTCGCTAGTTCTCATACACGCGTTAAGGGCACATTCACACTAGGAATCGCACAGGAACATAATGCGCATTCCTGTGCAATTCAGTGTGGTGTGATTTTAGCCCATTCATTCAAGTAGTGCATGCCTTTCTTTTGGAAGCACACTGTAAACGGATCATATGGTACTTTTGTTTCTTGTGATCCGATGTGGGCAGACGCACTGCAATTGCGATCTGTGTTTGAGGGTATCGTTAACATTGCACTGATGCCCGCTGAAGATCGCAAGGGCAGTGTACATGGCATTCTAGTGTGAACAGGCCCCAAAATATCACGGTAAAACAAGTTCTGTGTACAAGCTACTTTGTTGTATTGGTTGCAGAGACAAAGCAAGACAAGGAATCAGAAATCAAGGTGAGGAGGACTTTTAAAACCCAACTGAATTCACAGCGATAGATATACAGTCAGACAGACATTGTATTAGAGACCTCCATCATATAGCCTCATGACAGTGAAACCCAATGACAGCCAAAGTTTAGCCACTTTTCCATGTGAGTTATAAAAAATCTAAAGGTAGCCATACATGGCTCGATTTTCTCCTTCAATCACTTCCTCCATCCATGCTAACATGGAGGAATCTCCACTGGTATTTACTGTATACCTGAACAGCGACTGCAGCTGATAATATGGATTCAATGTTCGCCCAATAATATTCCACCCATCCCAGTCGATTTTTAAGTCAACTTTTGTCAAGAACAGTGCCTGCAGGGCCACCCTTTGCTCAAAGTTTAGCGGATCTAGCAAACAGACATGATCAGGCAACACAGTCCCATTAGTCAGACACATCCCCAACTATTCCTCCATAATACAAGTCTGTGTGAAGACATCTGTGATGTGGTACTCATCTATGCCAGCACAGAGCACCGGCGTGGGAGGCAGGAAATCAGAAATCACAACAAATAGTGGTACAGGACTATGAATAGATAAAGAAAAAAACCAACAAGCTCCTATCCTCCATGGCCTGGAAGACAACACAATAAATATGTGAGCAACAGCAATAACATCTGTCTGGGGTGGGGCTTAAGCCGACCATAGAAGGTTCGAATCTTGGCTGGTTCAGCAAGGAACAGCCGAAATTTGAACCATGTATGGGCAGGCTGAATGTACCCGAGTTGATCAATTGACCAACCTGGGTACAACCACAGCCTGTCGGATTTTACATGCAATTTATTGCCAGCGGCCATCATAGCCGCTAGCAGCAATCATTGTGTTCCCCCCCCGCCAGGAGAGTATAATGGCTCCAGGGGAGGGGTTCTCCCATAAACACTGACTGTATTGCTGAGGGAATCAAGTGATTTTCTTTCCTGCAACCGTTGGCTGCAGGAAATAAAATTGCTCCATATATGGCCAGCTTTAGTGGTGGGAGTGTGCAGACTGTCCTGCCATCCTGGGAACTCTGAGTGAGTCGTGCATCCAGCTAGCAGTTCGCCGACCCTGCACGCTGTGATATGTGGAGAGACGTAAAGAGACGCGGAGTCTTTTTTTTCTATGCATTGAGTAGCATTGGTTTTTAATAAAATGTTTTTAAAGCGGAGCTCCACCCAAAAAGGGGAAGTTCCGTTTTAAAGATTGGTCCCCCGCTCCCCATTAAGGATTGGCACCTGAAATTGACAGGTACCCGCTCCCACTTCCGCTGTGATCGTCCTCCTACCCTCCTTCTCTGTAGTCTTCTGGGACATGTGACAGGTCATAGAAGACTACAGGGCCATTCAGGAAACACAGCACTTCTTGCGCATGCGCAGTGGGCACCTGGCTGTGAAGCCGAAAGCTGTAACAGCCGGGTACGCACACTGTAGATGTCGGCATCTGGAACACCAGACGACTGACGAAACGGGCTGCGGGGAGGACACTGTGGGATCATGGGACAGGTAAGTGGCTGTTTTTTAAAACTCAGCAGCTAAAGTTTTTGTAGCTGCAGACTTATTTTTTTACAGTGTGAGTGGAACTCCGCTTCAATCTGGATTTACACTATTGGATCGCTTCCGCTTCATTCTTCACTCACCTTGTGGATGAGAACAGAGATCAAAACGGTTACAGGACTTTTCCTGGAGGACAGCAGACAATTTAGAGAATTCCAATGTGTGTAATGCCGGTCTTTTAACGGAGGCATATCATTTTGATGAGTTGCTGCCTAAAGGGTATGGATCACAGTGCACTGAATGAACACTTATCTGAGGGCTGCAACTGAACACTTCACATTTGGACACTTTGATCCAAAACTCATACAATCCATTTATAATCCCAATTTCATTTACCGTATTTTCCGGCGTATAAGACGACTTTTTACCCCTTGAAAATCTTCTCAAAAGTCGGGGGTCGTCTTATACGCCGGTAACGGCATGCTGACACTTTTTAAGGGGGCGGCGCGGTGCCGCCGCCGCCCCCCCCCCCTTCCAACAGAAGGGACACTAAGTACAGGGGTGGGCAGGGGCTGCTGTCTCTTACCTGGCTCCGGTCCCACGACGATCCGGTCCAGGAAGCGCGGCTGCTCCTTCCTTCGGTTCGTCCACTGGATGTTCGCGCGGCTACTCGGCTCCGCCTCCTCACCGGTGATTGGCCGCCAGAACTGTAGCTCAGGAAAGGCACACAGGCGGCCAATCACCGGCGAGGAGGCGGAGCTGAGCGGCCCCGCAAAGATGCAGGTAAGTGTGCCGTGCTTAGGTGCTGCTGCGACCACATATGCTGGCTGCAGCAGCACCATACTGGAACAGGGGTCAGCAAGTATCAGTGGCAGGAATAGTGCCCCATCATTGGTGTCACTGATACCAATGATGGGGCATTATTCCTCCCACTGACACCAACGATGGGGCACTTTTCCTCCCCCCCACTGACACCAACGATGGGGCACTATTCCTCCCCCCCCCCCCACTGACACCAACGATTGGGCACTATTCCTCCCCCCCCACTGACACCAATGATGGGGCACTATTCCACCCCCCACTCACACCAACGATGGGGCACTATTCCACCCCCCACTGACACCAATGATGGGATACTATTCCTCCCCCCCACTGACACCAACGATGCGGCACTATTCCTCTCCCCCCCACTGACACCAATGATGGGATACTATTATCCTCCCACTGACACCAATGATGGGATACTATTCCTCCCACTGACACCAAAGATGGGGCACTATTCATCCCACTGATACCAATGATGGGGCACTATTCCTGCATCTGATACCAATGATGGGGCACTATTCCACTGACACCAATGATGGGGTGCTATTCCCCCCAATAATACTAATGATGGGGCACTATTCCTGCCACTGATACCAATGATGGGGCACTATTCCTCCCACTGACACCAATGATGGGACACTATTCCTCCCACTGATACCAATGATGGGGCACTATTCCTCCCACTGATACCAATGATGGGACACTATTCCTTCCACTGACACCAATGATGGGGCACTATTCCTGCCACTGATACTAATTATAGGGTGCTATTCCTCCCACTGACACCAATGATGGGGCACTATTCCTGCCACTGATACTAATGATGGGGCACTATTCCTCCCACTGACACCAATGATGGGGCACTATTCCTCCCACTGACACCAATGATGGGCACTATTCCTCCCACTGACACCAATGATGGGGCACTATTCCTCCCACTGACACCAATGATGGCGCACTATTCCTCCCACTGACACCAATGATGGGGCACTATTCCTCCCACTGATACCAATGATGGGGCACTATTCCTCCCACTGATACCAATGATGGGGCACTATTCCTCCCACTGATACCAATGATGGGGCACTATTCCTCCCACTGACACCAATGATGGGGCACTATTCCTCCCACTAATACCAATGATGGGGCACTATTCCTCCCACTGACACCAATGATGGGGCACGATTCTTCCCACTGGTGTGCACTGGAAGAGGGGTAGTCTTATACGGGGAGTATAGCCCAAACACTACATTTTAAACAGGAAAAATAGGGGGTCGTCTTATACGCCGGAAAATACGGTATATTTTCGCACAATTATATTGCATGAGAACATTTGAGAGATTGGAGGTTATATATTATATTGATAGGAACTTTATTTTTTTATCTTTCATGTAAATTAAATTGGCACTTTATGATTGTGTAGTTTCTGGATTATAGGTTTTGATGTTTTAGAGTAATATTTATAGCACAGTGCTGCAATCAATTCTAATCTATTTTAGGATTGTGTTTTAGAATAACAACAACAACAACATCTGTATGGTACCTCTTCCCACTCTCATAAAGGCACATGCCAAAGCTTTTGGTCCCAGTTTCAAGGCAGCGACGCATCATGAGGCGATAACGTGGTTCAAAAACATGGAGAGGACAGGGTACTCCAGGAAAGGCCACTGTGCACACGAAGATCGGCACATTGCTGACTAGGCTGGAAGAAAGGAAAATACATTACATGATCACTTGAATACTTTTAATGATATTCATATTATAGCCAATAACAGAAGAAACTTCATCAGCCATTCCTCCCAACCAGAACAGCGTTGCAGGTATTCCCAGCAGCAGGCTGCAGATAAAGACGGCTGCTCTCTGTGAAAGCAGCCATCTCTCTGCAGCAGTCTGACAACCCCTGCAAACAGCCACGCTCACGCCCCCTGCTGACTGTAGACCTGCACTTTTGGACTAAACAGAAGATCAGTTCTACAAAATCTTAACTCTTGATTTATTACAAAATATCCTTATCCCTTAGGGCTCATGTACACTGCATCTGATAAACTCACATTTAGGAGCTTTTCTGCATTTTTTTCGGCAGCCCCTGAACGCTCCCTAATGTTTTCCTATGTGTCCATGTACACATCGTCCTTTACAGGCAGTTGAGTTTACAGTCGTTTTTTTTGAATGCACCAAACTTGCGTTCAGAAGTAGATTTTATCAGCTTTTCAAACATCAAACGCGGCTAAACGCGTTTATAAACGTTTGCGTTTAGAAGCGTTTTTTAACTGATCCATATCCAAATGCTGTCCAGAGCCTTTCTTCATCATCAGAAATGCATGCAAAGCATTTTCCATGTATTCAAATAGACCCGGTACACCAGCGCGGTCAGTTCCAGGTTTTGCGTGAAGGAAAAAAAGGTAGACCGTGCCGCATTATGCTCATCATGGGATCCATAGTGAATACAACCAGAAAAGACAGGGCATCTCAACACATACTGCTCTCTCTGCTTCTGCTCTCTATTTCTCTCAAAATGTCTGAAATAGTTTTTTTTACTGTTTTTCCGTGCATCTGGGCATTTTGGAAGGTCTCCTGATGTTATCTTTAAAAAACGCTTCTAAATGCAAACGCTCATAAACGCGGTATGCAAACACGGCTAAACTCACGTTTTTTAACCTACGTTTTCCAGCAGTCAGTTTCCATCGTTCAGAAGTGTTTTCCAAACATCCCGTGTACATGAGCCCTCAGGGATTGCTTTATATTTATTGTTTACTTGTATTCATCTTCCTGTCAATGCAGACATCAGACTGTAAACCAATCCTTTTTCCTGCCTAAACTCAGTGCTGATAACACTCAAACTGTCAAATAAGAAAGGTGCTGTCAGGATTATAAGAACAAAATCTAAATGTGTCAACATTTTTTTGTTAGAGATGGTATTTTTTTTTCTTTTTTACTTAAACTAATGACCTGATTCCATAATGATGCCCTACAGAATAATGGAAACTGAATTTTAATTTAAAGAGCAACATCAAGCAAAATGATTTGGGGAACTGCTGACACATTTTAGAAATCTGAGCTCATGCTTCTGTACTACACTCAGAGGTCCTGCAGGTAAGTTGAAAAGACTTTCTAAGAAGGATTACAGTCTCTTGTCACATGACTCTTTATTCCCACTAATTCCCCACAATGTGGGAAAAGATGCAGAGAAATCAGAGAAGTGCTGAAACTGGGGAAGACACCAGCCTACATTCTGAAGGCTCTTATTTGCAGTCACCTAGGACACTAGTAACTATAGGAATATAACTGGGAAAGCAGCTGTCCACAGAGAGTAAATACTAGGATAAAAACTGGGGACACTCAGCAGGTAGTTTACTTTTTCTGAGAGTTAGTTTAAAGCAGTATTAAACCCCAAACCACAAACATCGCTTATTTCAGCTTAATAATCATTAGCTGTGGTGATTGCATTAGTTTTCTCTTTTTTTTAATATATATACACACTCCCCCCCCCCCCCCCCCCCCCCCCCCCCCCGTTTTCACCTGGCGATCTGCCCAGTAACACACCTTCTCTACTAGAGTACCCCCACTCTGAATGAAAAAGCACAGGGGCACCTTTGCACAGCAGAATTGTCAGTATTGGGGGGAGGGGAGTATTAGAGTAGCAGATTTAGATACACTAACAATTTGAAGCCAAACTCCAGCTAACACTGCAGTTACAAAAGCAGTTACAGCAAACAGTTTTTTTTTTCTTTTGGGATAAAGATTTTAAAATCAATAAAAGTTGATTATGTAAGCACCCGTCAGAGGTAAATGGTTTCTCTCAACCTTCTAACTGCTACATCCGCAGGACAGCTTGTTCTGTTGAAAAAAAACAGACCTACTGGCTAGATCACCAGGTGAAAATAAAAAAGCCTAAAAAAGAAAACAAAAATGCAGCAATCTAAGGATTTTTTATTTTTGGGTTTAATGCTACTTTAAACCTAAACTCCAAGCAAATACAGATACTGTACTGAAATACAGTATATACCATATACTGTAGTATATTAACCTGCCAAATGATTTGTATTTCTGTCCAGTTCTGAGACTTACACAGCTCTGCCACACAGCATAAACCTGTCTGGAAGAACAGGGGACCTGATTTTAATCTACTGGAGTTCAGTAACACTTATGGGTCCAGTTTCTCCATTAGCCTGTGAGTAGATGGAGAAAAGAAAAAGCAGCAGATTTATGAGCTTGCCTTTCTTTGTTACTAAACCCACAACAGTAAAATCAGTCTGTATATGCAGTAAAGCACGCTTGGTATACTCACTGTGGAACCTAAGGGGTTAATCCTCTGCATTGTGTAAAAATTATATTTGATCCTGTCTTCTTTGATCCTCCCCCACTTCCACTGTCTCCAATCCATCTGCTGACAAAACAGAGCCTTGGGGGCAAGCTGCACATGCTTAGTTTGGTGTGTACTGCTACAGAGTTTTTTTTCATTCTTGGGAGAGTGCATGTGGTCAGCAGAGGGCCAATCAGTACTGTCCAGACAGAAGGTCAGGTGTTATGCAGCCTCATAGGACAGTCAGGGGAGAATGAAAACTCCTCCTCCTACTCCTCCTAAGCTTTAACCAGTGCTCTGCTGGACACTGATAGAAGTCACAAGACTGCTCTAACTGCTGATGAGAAAAGGTATTTATCAGTTTATATTTACTAAAATAAATGCATTTCCATTGTTCAGTGGACTGTGGGAGACAAGATATAGAGAATACAGGGTCCTGGGTTTGGTAACACTTCCTTCTCCTCCTATCAGCATGTTCCTTGTAAGCACATGAGCACTGCAGTACAAATAATTGGCTCCTTGTGCTGTTTCTCCATCCTCCCTTTGATTTCCACTACACAGGGACTGCAAGAGTCACATTCTGCTACTTACAATGCATGTACTTGTATGTATGTATGTTGATTGTCTATTAAGGAGTACAGAATTGTATTATTGTATGTCTTTTATATCTGCCTACAGTTCAGCTTTAAATGCAAAATGTTCAGCATTGACTATAGGGTACCTGTAAACTTGTGTAATATATACAGTTTATGGTGAACCTTTTCCAGAACCGTGCAACACACATGACTAGCTGAGGTTACTGACACCAGGGGAAGTCAATTACAAGGACATGCCTCATTTTCAGGCTCTAAAGTCAGCAGAAAAAAAAACCCCTTGCAATCTGGGAACGTTAATTACTGCAGCGAACCTCTGGGTAAGTGTATAAATCCACCTGCCGAGGCTCTATGTCAGCAGAAGAATAATTACCCGAGACCCCACAATTACTGAACTCTGTTATTCTTTTAAACTGTCCCCGTTATGGTAATTATCTTTTCTCAATATTAATGCCCTGACTCATGTGCATTCATTCTGAAGGGAAGAGCAGGGATCATTGGTGTGTTTGCCTCTACTACACCCCGGCTGCTGTGTTTGTATTTTGTATTAAATAGAAAACTATCGCCATTTCTACTCCTTTGTTCTTTAAATCTGTGTAAACTAATATTTAAAAATGTTACAATGTAGTTTATAATCCTAGAACTCTTTCCCTTTATCTTTTCCAACCTAGTTACTCCCTCCAATAGTAAGTGCTCTACCCACAATCCCTTTCTTCTCTCTCCCATTATAGTTGCAACAACTCATGATGTATCCAACGATGAAACAACTCTTCCTGGTTTTTTTATACTATATATTAATGCAGCATTAAACCTAAAAGCAAACATTATATTGCAGTTTACCAATTCTGAGTTGTGATGGCTGCATCAATTTTCTTTTTCAGATTGTTTCTTTTATTTTCATCAGGTTATCTTTTTTGTCTGTTATTTTTCAAAAGAACAAGCTGTCCTGCAAATGTCAGTGATTTTTATTAGTACTGATCACTGCATTAGTGTCACAGGGAATGTCAGTGACACCAAGTCAGTTCCCCCCCAGTATCAGAATGCCAGCCGCAGTCCCGCTATAAGTTGCTGATCGTCGCCATTACTAATAAAAAAATTTCCAGTATCTATACCGCCATTTGTAGACGCTATAACTTTCACGTAAACCAATTAATTTACATGTATTGGGATTTTTTTTTTAGCAAAGACATGTAGCAGAATAAATTTTTGGCCTAAATTTATGAAAAAATGGGCTTTTTAAATTTTTTGACTGGACATGTTTAATAGCAAAAGGTCAAAAATATTGTTATTTTTCTCAAAATTGTCATTTTTTTTTTTAAAGCACAAAAAATAAAAAAAACGCACAGGCAATCAAATACCACTGAAAGAAAGCTCTATTCATGGGAAAAAGGGCATACATTTAATTTGGCTGCAGCTTTGCATGACCGCGCAATTGTCAGTTAAAGTAACGCAGTGCCGTAATGCAAAAAATGGCTTGGTCAGGAAGGGGGGTAAATCCCCTGGAGGGCAAGTGGTTAAAAATTATGTAATCTCAACATATCATATTCCTGATATGTTCCACACTGATATTCCCAGTGAATGGCTCTGTGGGGATTGGAGGGTTGTCAGGACAAGCCTGATCATTGGAGGAGAGGCTGAGTTCCCAGCTCAGCTAGAAAACTGACTATGCTATGCTTTTCTGCCTAGTGTGGTCAGTTTTTATTAGGAAAGCAGAGAGACTGGCAGGAAACACCAGAGATTTCACACAAAGGAAGCAATGTAAAGAGAACAGAATACTTTTTCATACAAGTACATGGTACAGCAAGGACATCTGGAATATGAGGGCCCTCGAACCCCTCGTGTATCGTTTTGTTACTGTATTGTCTCATGCTCTGTCCCCCACTATAATGTACAACGCTGAGCAAACCTTTTTGCGCTATATAAATACTGTATAATAATAATATGAAGTTTTTTGTTTTTTATATTCTTGAACACTTTTAGATTTTCCTTTAACATAGCAAATGTTTACCTTAAGAGTGTCCCTGTCACTGTAAGTTACTGTGATCTTTTACATTCCTTTGCATAATAACCCCACCACCACCATCACCTTTTTTTAGAATAATAATTCTTATGACTTGTTTTCTTTAATCTTTTAATGCTGCTTTTCTACTGTATTTTTAAAAAAAATTAAACAGTTTTATTGAAGAAAAAAAAAAACCACAATCCTCTTGCATATATGTGTGGCATGAATTTTGGCTGAATTTGTATTTGCTGGTCCGTAACCTTCTCTGTTTTGAAGAAACTGTTGCTTGCTTCACCGTGCCCTTTTTCAAACTAATATTTAAAAAGGAGAGTCTGCCTTCATTAATATTACAGAAGCATTCTCAGGATTGTAAAGAGATGGCTGCATTGTTTGCTTCCCTTAGATGAACCTTAGAAAATATCGAAGTACAAATTAAACTGCTCTTGCAGGGGATGCCTGACATTTGACCAGTGCACTTCACTGACGCACTTTCTCCCCACTGACCTCCACTGTGGCGGCACACATCTCCATTGACTGCCATTATAACAGCATACCACAGAAGGCAAACAGCTGCTCTATACATTACACTCCCTGGATTGATTAACCCGGTCCACGGCATTGTACATTCATAACAGTAGGTAAATGTTTTCGGAATTTAGCATTTCATCTTTTACAAACAGACACACTTTATCTAGTCTTCGCTTGTTCTTCGGTTTTCTTTAAACCTGAGTTACTGGTTACAGGTCAAGGACTTACTTGGACAACTCAGCAATCTCTGAAAGATGGATTTGCTTCCGGTCAGCCATCTCAGAAGGAAATATGGTTTCAATGAGGTCCACCAGAAGAGCAGTGACAGCATATCCACCCACCCTCAGGTACTGCAACAGAGGTAAACAAATTGTCAGTCCAGGAGGAAATGCAGTCAGGACAACAACATTTACTGGAATAAAAGTGGATATTACCTCTCGTAAGCTCTGCTTGCACAATGGGCAGTAGGGCTGATGGTCCAGGCAGCGTAACAGGCACTCCCTGCAGAAGGTGTGGCCACAAGGGGTGGTGACCGGCTCCAGAAACATCCTGACATATTAGAAAAGAAAAGTTAGCTTTACTATAAAAAAAAAAAGTATTACTAAAAGCACAGACCAAAACCTGATCAAAGAAAGTATCACCTACTGTCCATCTTTGTCAGGAAATCTAGGGGACCGGTTGACAAATTAGTCACATCCACAGAATCTCAGAATGTGGTTCAAAGCTCAAAAGACAAAATCGTAAGAACTGGATTTATTCACAGCCAACTAGGAAGGGGAAATGATGGAACTCTATCAGATGTCAAAACTAAAGCTGTAAAAAAGATGGTTAGCACACATTAATATATTGGGTTGGGTGGAGGAGTTGAGTGCAACCAGAGAAACGGACTGGAACTCAAATTTGGTAAACTTTGGTAAAAGCTTTTGAGACAAACTACTTTCAAGATGGTATCTAGTCCCAACCCCGAAACTAAATTTGGTAAACTTTGGTAAAAGGAATGCTCAAGTAACATCTATGCTTTAGAGACAAACTGCTTTCAAGATAGTATCTAGTCCCAACCCTGGGACTAAATATGGTAAACTACAAAATCATGCTGAGGTCATGTCTATGCCTTAGAGACAAACTTCTTACAAGAGGCTACCTGTAGGAGGTTTTTCCCACATGCCATCGTGGATGTAACAAACTTGATACCGTCTACTATATTTGCTGGACTTGCCCTGTGGTTTTCACTTTATGGTTCAGTACCTATTAAATTATACATACAATGATTCCCCCTCACACAGGATCCACATGAAGCCTTACCCAATTTTCAATTTAGGCTGTTAACTCTTTTAACTGCGACAAAACAAAAACAACAGCCAAAGCCTACCAATCTCCATCACACAATTCTCCAGAAATAGTGGTGAGAGGCTCTTGAACTCTACTGAAGTAGAAAAATAACTGACAGATACTTACAGACCAGATGTGAGAGTGTAATCCCACAAAGTACACTCCATCGGCGTCTTTACATATACATTCATTTTATGGAAGGATCTCCAAAATAAATTTTTTTTACTTTTTGAAACAATTTAAAAAATGTCTAATGTTAAATGTCTGTAATTAAGTTGTCATTGTACACTTGGCTACAAGTACTCACTGCAGTTTATGGGCTGCATTTCTCTGCTGTTATTGTTTCTTTATTTAAAAAAGAAAAAAACACTAAAAACAGAAAATATCTTGGTCACTGGTGTGTGCCTTTCCCACATACATAAACTTCAACCTATACTTCTATTTGAAAATTGTATATTACAGTTGACCCAGGGACATAAAGACATCATGGATTCACCCATGATCATAAATTGGACACCCCCTGTGTTTGGAATTGGTGATGAAAGTATTGTTTTTATCCTCTTGGCCCACCTCACCATTGCCTTTCTGGGTTATACCTTCTACATAAAATGATAAAAAAAAAGCTTGTAGTTTGGTTTTCCTGTTATCGTTTATATTTTTATTATGTGGACTGTAGCTGGGCAAGGACTTTAGTCAAACAAACATACATTCCAGCTGTGGAATGATTTTTTGTTTCATTCCATCCTCTAACTCAACTTGTCAATGGCAATGTAAAGCAGCCCATTCATTTTCAATTGGCTGACAATGCACAAGAAACTGAACCCTTTTGTGGGGATGCAGCACATTGTAGTACATTACCATTCACCATGACGGTAGTAATGCAGGTGCATTGCTTTAGTGAGTTGGGGTGCCATTCAAAATTAAAATCAATGCAAGGTATACACTATGGTGCATGGTGTAACATCATGTGTTGCTGCAAGGCACAGATGTAATCTCAGCATAAAAACGAACCTACTGCTCGAATAACATTTTTAAAAAATTCAAACAAATTGCAATTTTATATTAGCAAAAGGTAAGGGAAATACTGAAAAAGTCAACAATATATTTTAATTGAATATATACTAGATTTCCCTTTTAATATCAAATTTTAACATTTCCAACACAGAAGCAGCACAACCTGTGACAGTTCATGTGGGAAAAGGTTTGGAGAATATCTACAAATAACCAGAATCACAAAATGATGTAATTTTGGAACATGCAGAAAAAGAGATAGATGTTGAACTTTTATTACGCCATAAACGCAGTCATGCACATCCTGGTCTCATATTTATAGCGGGTTCCCATCAGGGGTGACAGACAGCTCTCTGGTGCAGTAGTGGGGCCCTTCAGCAGGTGTCGGTATGTATGAGAAATAACAGTGATCTGTTGTCTTCTACAAGGACGCAGTCTCTGCAGTTTTGGCCGTCTGCATGGATTCCGGCGGTGTTTTTTTGCAACAAAGACTCCTTCCTGCTTCTGGTTTCCAGGGAAACGTTCCAACCTCTCCAAATCCTACTAAATGTGTCTCTAAATAGACTGAAGGACTGTCACGCTGTTCTGTGCAGACTGCAGTCACCACAAAGTACTGCAAGGAAGAAAAAGGGAACTAAAGCTGAAGAAACTTCAGTCCCAAGGACCTGGGAACACAAGGGTACGAGTCCCAAAGACCTGGGAACATGAGAATACAACGAGTCCAAAGGACCTGGGAACATGAGAGTACAACGAGTCCCAAGGACCTGGGAACATGAGAGTACAACGAGTCCCAAGGACCTGGGAACATGAGAGTACAACGAGTCCCAAGGACCTGGGAACATGAGAGTACAACGAGTCCCAAGGACCTGGGAACATGAGAGTACAACGAGTCCCAAGGACCTGGGAACATGAGAGTACAACGAGTCCCAAGGACCTGGGAACATGAGAGTACAACGAGTCCCAAGGACCTGGGAACATGAGAGTACAACGAGTCCCAAGGACCTGGGAACATGAGAGTACAACGAGTCCCAAGGACCTGGGAACATGAGAGTACAACGAGTCCCAAGGACCTGGGAACATGAGAGTACAACGAGTCCCAAGGACCTGGGAACATGAGAGTACAACGAGTCCCAAGGACCTGGGAACATGAGAGTACAACGAGTCCCAAGGACCTGGGAACATGAGAGTACAACGAGTCCCAAGGACCTGGGAACATGAGAGTACAACGAGCCCCAAGGACCTGGGAACATGAGAGTACAACGAGTCCAAAGGACCTGGGAACATGAGAGTACAACGAGTCCCAAGGACCTGGGAACATGAGAGTACAACGAGTCCCAAGGACCTGGGAACATGAGAGTACAACGAGTCCCAAGGACCTGAGAACATGAGAGTACAACGAGTCCCAAGGACCTGGGAACATGAGAGTACAACGAGTCCCAAGGACCTGAGAACATGAGAGTACAACGAGTCCCAAGGACCTGGGAACATGAGAGTACGAGTCCCAAGGACCTGGGAACATGAGAGTACGAGTCCCAAGGACCTGGGAACATGAGAGTACGAGTCCCAAGGACCTGGGAACATGAGAGTACAACGAGTCCCAAGGACCTGAGAACATGAGAGTACGAGTCCCAAGGACCTGAGAACATGAGAGTACAACGAGTCCCAAGGACCTGGGAACATGAGAGTACAACGAGTCCCAAGGACCTGGGAACATGAGAGTACAACGAGTCCCAAGGACCTGAGAACATGAGAGTACAACGAGTCCCAAGGACCTGGGAACATGAGAGTACGAGTCCCAAGGACCTGGGAACATGAGAGTACAACGAGTCCCAAGGACCTGAGAACATGAGAGTACGAGTCCCAAGGACCTGGGAACATGAGAGTACAACGAGTCCCAAGGACCTGAGAACATGAGAGTACGAGTCCCAAGGACCTGGGAACATGAGAGTATGAGTCCCAAGGACCTGGGAACATGAGAGTACAATGAGTCCCAAGGATCTGAGAACTTGAGGGTATAACGAGATACAGCTGAAAAAAAAAAAAAAAAAAAAACATAGAAAAAGGACCTGTCAGATTAGTAAAGTTACTTGTAAAGTAAAAAGGATGCTCTTGTCATTTACCCAAATCTTCATATGTATACAGCTACAGTGGGTATAGAAAAGAAACACCTACCTATAAAATAATCACATTTTGTTGCTTTGCAGCCTGAAATGAAGACAGACACAGTTTTGTTTTATCCAACTATATTTACTGATTGCAAAGTATAACATCCAAGTGAGAGATTTAACACCAAATAGTCAGAAACATTTTTTTTTTAAACCAAAACAACTGAGTTGGAAAAAGGATCACCCCCTCCTAATAATGACTTGTAAACCCAATCAGATGTAGCTAATCACCTTCTCGAAGGCACACAAAGCCATTTGAATTTCAACTGATCAGCTCTGGTCATTTTGATTAGCTCAGCATGAAAAGAGCTTTCCTGGAGCATTTCAGTCCTTGGTAGTGCAACTGAAGCAAACAATCAACTATGGGTGTCAAGGCACTGCCAAAAGATCTCCGGGATAAGGTTTTGGACAGGCACAAGTCAGGAGATGGATACATAAAAAAAAAAAAATAAAAAGGCTTTATCAATGCCTAAAAGCACAGCGAAGTTTATTATTAAGAATTGGAAGGTATTTGGTACAACACAGACCCTCCCTGGATCAGGACATCGCTCCCAGCAGATAAAAGAGCCAAGAGTAAACTGGTCAGAGAGGCTACCAAGAGGCCTACAGAAACTCTGAAGCAGTTGCAGGAATTTATGACAAGGATTGGTCATTGTGTGCATGTAGCAACAGTATCACAAATTCTCCACAAATGTGACTTGTATGGGAGGGTTGCAACAAAACTCCTCAAGAAAGGCCTCATGCAGACACGCACCTTGAAAATTCTGAGGCCACATGGAAAAAGGTGTTATGGTCAGATGAGACTAAAATTTAATTATTTGGCCTCAACACTAAACAATATGTCTGGTGGAAATCCAATACAGCTCACCATCCAAATAACACCATTCCTACAGTAAAGCATGGAGAGGGGAATATCCTGTTATGGGGGGTTTCTCTGCAGCAGAGACTGGAGAACTTGTCAGGATAGAAGGAAAAATGGATGGGGAAAAACAGTGTCAAATTCTTGAGGAAAATCTGCTGCCCTCTGCCAGAAAGTTGTCAATG